TGCATTTGTGATCGGAGAAATGACAAACAAGTGCTACTCTACACTGCCCAAAAAATATGCACACACCTGAATATTTGGGTTAAACTCTTCTGGAACAGTGTTGTAAATACAACTTAACCACTGATTTCTAGTCGTTTTTGGAAGACCAAACAAAGTAGTTTCGCTTTCACAACGAAACACAGCGTCGATCACATGTGACGACCCCGGGCTGGACTCCGCTTCTTCCACGGTGAAAGCCGATCCGGCGATCCACAGCGCAAAGTTGTTGTATTTCCTCAGCAACCAGCACGGATCAGCTCCAGGCATGACGAAGCGATATCGTCCTCTTTTGGAAGGCCAAACAAAGTAGTTTCGCTTTCACAACGAATCACACAGTGCCTTCACGACATCAACGGCAACAACAATACTACAGCGAGAATAAAAGTTACGCCTTCTTTCTTCTGCGTGAACATTTGGGCGGCGTTATGCAAATCTTCCCACATAGTGATGTAGACATGTGGGGGCGTGTTAGAACGAGCCGTTTTAGGTAGGTGTGGCTGACTCTTAACTTTTATAAAGAATATCTCTTTGGATTTGAGACTTTAGTCTTTGCAACTTTACAGATCTTCTTTATGCATCAAGAGCTTGTAACACTCCAAAGAGAAAGGACAAATTTAAATCGCATCATATGAACCCTTTAAATGGGTCATGACACAAGAAATCAAATTTTCATTAAAATACTGACATAAATTTGAAAGTATACTTCGGAAGTCAGGATGTTCTGCGGATGGTCCGCATGCAGCCCAGTTTTTGTGTCAGCGTACAACCTCACAGGTGCAAGGTGAATGTTGAGACACTACGAGGCCACTAGGTGGTACATGGCCATCAGTGTTTGAGTATATTTTGGAAGTTGCGTGGAACATTACTTGGGCTTTAGCAGTGATATACGAGAGCAGAAAGTTGAATTATCAGAGCAGTAGCACAACTGCACATAAAATATTGCAATCCACTCAACATAAACGGAGACATTTCAAAAGAGGACCAATTGTTGGTGCATGTCCTGTGTGACTAGAATAGCAAGTCTCTGTGATGTATCGAGAGCCACAGTATCCAGGGTAATGTTAGCATACAACCATGAAGGATGAACCACATCCATTAGGAGTAACTGTCCATGCAAGAGAACATAAAGCTTGTCTATAATTCCACACATAAAACATCTCAAAAATCTCATGATGTTTTATTGTCATGTGTTCCTACAGACCTGAAGTGGAACCAGCAGTGGAAGCAGCAGAATGCAGGTACAGTGTGCTGTCTGTGCTACACCAGTTTACATTCATATAGCCTACTCACAGCTTTATTAGTGCACTACAATATGATTAAAAACTGAATTAAATATTAAAACATCATCACAAAATATCAAAACGTTGTGTCCATTTTGAAAATCACTGTGACCATATTATCCACATTTGCTGTCGAAAAGGTCACTCCAGACTAACCTATACCTTTTTGTTAATGGGTGAAAATTCTACTTTATTGCCCCTCTAGGACTCTTTATTTTTCAGTTGATTCTTTTGGGGAGAAAAACGTAATGAAGTGAGACCAGATTTAGATTGATTTTTTTTTTTTTTTATCAAAGATAAACTTTAAAAACCTCTTATAAGTTTTTTTACCTTTATTTCTTTGTTTTATCTCTCTCTTTTTTTCTCATCATGAATATAGTCATGGTAGCTCGCATGGCGTTAAATTAAAAACAATTAATTAATCAATCAGTCATCACAAAATCTTTGTGTTGTGAAGTTGTGATTAATATTCTCTGTTTTCTCAGTGGATGTGACTCTGGATCCTGGTACAGCTCATCCTAAACTCATCCTGTCTGATGATGGAAAACAAGTGAGATATGAAGACACTGAGCAGAAACTACCAGACAAACCAGAGAGATTTAATACATGTCCTTGTGTCATGGGAAAGGAGGGATTCTCCTCAGGGAGATTTTATTTTGAGGTGCAGGTGAAGGGAAAGACTGAATGGACTTTAGGAGTGGCCAGAGAATCCACTGACAGGAAGGGTAAGATCACACTGAGTCCCAGTGATGGATACTGGACTGTGGTTCTGAGGAATGGGAATGAATATTGGGCCTGTGATGAACCCTCCATTTCCCTGCATCTGAGTGTGACAAGTCAGCAGCTCGGTGTGTTTGTGGATTATGAAGAGGGTCTGGTCTCCTTTTATGATGTGGAGTCAGGCTCTCATATCTACTCTTTCACTGGCCAGTCTTTCACAGACAAACTCTATCCATATTTTAGCCCAGGCTCCAATAATGGTGGTCAGAACTCAAGCCCACTGATCATCACACCTGTCAGTTAAAATAAATGAATTTACACCCCTTATATAAAATACTAGATGAAAATAATTATTTTTATAATTAAAAACCTAAATACATTAAATATGTATGGTATGGGGTCTGGTATGTATGGTGTGTGCTGCCATTCAAAAGATGAATTGTTTATATAATTTGTTTTTAAAATCTACTATAATTACATGTTTAGGTACAAAAAATATTTGTTTTAGAATATTCAATAAATTATTTTGTTGCACAAAATGTTCTACATTTGATAAAATTACCTTGATATATCATAAAACTGTATGATGTCCATATTCATGGAATATACCACACTACTTCAAGGTACCTAAAAATACCAAATCACAGTTTTAGTTTGAAGTGTCAAATCCACTGAGGAGCCCAGAGAATATCTGTAGACTTGTAGAGTCATGGTAAAATAATCCTGACTTGTGTTGTTTGTGTGTTGTGTGTTTTTGCATTTCAAATAAAGCAAGATATTTTGTCTAGATGCTTGCTGTTTTAGACTCTGGAAGGTCCTGATGGTTTACGGGTGTGTCATTCCTAGTTTGAGCTCCTACATACTAACAGTTCAAATATGTCAAACTATTTTCTCCCAAACGATGAACAGAAGAATCATTCTCACAAAGACGGACCAAACCTCAACTAGGCTACCTCATGTTTGAAAAGTTGAAAAAGTTTTAAAAGATGTTTTAAAGGAAGAGTAGCATTCTGTCATCATTTACTCATCATTGTTCCAAACCTAAGTGACTTTTTTCTGTGGATCACAAAAGACGTTTAGAAATGTATACAAATATGTCTTCTTTGGTTCACTACATAGGCTATATACACAAACACTTTAATGATGGAAACATCGGGCTCAATACAAACAGACACACATGAATCCAAACACACCGAATACAGAGACAAATTTAAATGTGTAAATACAGGAGGAGCTCTGACATCACTGGAGTTCAGTGAGATTCAGAGAAAGTGAAACTAACTTGATCAGCAACAATATGGACGCCTAAACAACAGAATATTTACTGAGCCATTCAAAGATCCTTGTGGACCCATCTGATACTCTAAACAGAGCTATGTTCAAGCATGTCAAATGCTCCACTACTTTAGCTGTCACAGGACAAAAAGACTAAAGAAACAGGAAGTAATTGACCTGCAGACTGAACACAAAACTGCTGCACTGCAGCTGAAAATCATGAAACAAGACCACAAGCTCTCATATCTACTCTTACACTGGCCAGTGTTTCGCTGACAAACTCTATCCATTTTTTTAGCCCATGCTTTAATGATGGAGGTAAAAACTCAAGCCCACTGATCATCACACCTGTCAATTGCAATAAATGAATTTTCATCACTAATATGAAATGCAGGATTAAAATAATCCAGTGTATCACAGGACAAACACATACTGACACACACATTCATACTCACACCTATAGACAATTTAGTTTCTCAAATTAACCTATGCTGCATGTCTTTGGATTGTGAAAAAGAAATGATAGAAATCCAGTTATTATTATTTATGCTATTCCGTGACACTATTGGTGCACAAATTACACACTTACAGCTAATGTTCACTAGGTGGCATTATATACTGTAGTTTCAAAATAGAACGCACAGAGATAGTCACATCCATAGTCATGGAAAACCTGAAAATATCACAACATTTTTAAATTGTGGCTTCATAAAACAGAAAGCATGAAAATTAATCAAATGTATTTGATGAAAGTTATGTACATTTCTTTAGTGACTATTTATTTTCTAGCTAACTTAGCTAGAAGTTGTTCTTTGTGACTGATGTGTATGGAAAATAATTTTTTTCCAATTTGAGGTTTCTTCAAATCTTTAAAACTAATTATGATCAGTGATGCCTGTATCCCTAATTGGATCGATATTTTAATGCACGGTTTGCATTTTCACACATAGATGGGTTGAGTGTGTGCTGTATTTAACATGATGGATTGAGTGGTTACAATGTTTAGTTCAGATGGTTTTAACAGAGACAGCAGGAGAAATGTTTTGTCCGCTGAGGATTAGTGTCTCCTGGGACAAACTAAGGCACAATTTTCATATTTCTTTAAACAGGGTCAGCTGTGTCTAAGGGAAGAGTCATGAGAATTGTTTTGAACTAATGACTACAGATTGATGTTTTTAAAAGGGGTTTTAAAAGATTGTTTATGCTCTGTCATGTTTTTCATTTTCCTCATATTTTTGTTTCAGGACCTCTTGAAGTAAAACAGGCAATTTGTACTCTTAAACTACACTTAAATCAGAATCAGAATCAGAAAGAGCTTTATTGCCAGGTATGTTTACACATACGAGGAATTTGTTTTGATGACAGAAGCTTCCACAGCACAAATAGATTACAGTGACAAGACAAGACAGATAATAAAAATGATAAAAATAGGATAAGTAAAAAGGAAATGACATTATACAAAAAAATATGGAAAAAATTACACAATATACAAAGTAGACAAAAGATGGTATTTGTGTGTACAGGTGTGTTATGTACAAATGCAAGGAAATGTAAAAGAGGTATGTGTGTTAAATAAATAAATGTATAAGTAGTGTTGTGTATTACACACTTATTGCCAAGTTAACAGTTCATGAGACGGATTGCCTGAGGAAAGAATCTGTTCTAATGTCTGGCTGTTTTGGTGCTCCGGAGGAGAAAGTGGCCTGGGTGTGAGGGGTCCAGAATGATTTTGCCAGCTCTATTACTCACTATGGATGAGTGCAGTTCTTGAAGAGTGGGGAGGGATGCACCAGTGATTCAGTCAGCAATCCAGACTATCCGCTGCAATATTCTAAGGTCTGATTTGGTAGCTGAGCTGAACCAAATCAGACCTGGTTCCTCTTAGCCAATCTGATCTCCTTTGTCAGTGTGCTTTTGGCCTGTTTATAAGACTCTGTCCCCTTTCCTGTAAGCATCTTCTTTGGCCTGATGGAGCTGTCTGAGTTTCGCAGTGAACCACGGTTTGTCGTTGTTGTAAGGTAAATGAGTCCTGGCAGTGATGCACATATCCTCACAGAAACTGATGTATGATGTTACAGAATCCGTGACCTCGTCCAGGTCGGTGGCTGCATCTTCAAAAACACTCCAATCAGTGCAGTCGAAGCAGACTTGTAAATCCCACTCTGCTTCATTAGCTCATCTTTTTACATGATTTTGCCAGCTCTATTACTCACTATGGATGAGTGCAGTTCTTGAAGAGTGGAGAGGGATGTACCAGTGATTCAGTCAGCAATCCAGACTATCCGCTGCAATATTCTAAGGTCTGATTTGGTAGCTGAGCTGAACCAGACTCGTCACCGTCCTGGATGAGCCCAATAAGTGTGGTGTCATCTGTGAATTTCAGGAACTTGACAGAGGGGTCTTTAGAGGTGCAGTCATTGGTGTAGAGGGAGAAGAGCAGTGGAGAGAGAACACAACACTGAGGAGCTCCAGTGCTGATTATACGGGTGCTGGATGTGAGTTTTCCCAGCCTCACTAGCTGCTGCCTGTCTGTCAGGAAGCTGGTGATCCACTGACAGACACACATCCCTGGGGGGCACCAGTGCTGATGGTGCAGGTGCTGGATGAGAATTTTCCCAGCCTTACTAGCTGCTGCCTATCTGTCAGGAAGCTGGTGATCCACTGACAGATGGAGGTCGGCACAGAGACCTGAGTTAATTTGGACAGAAGGAGGTTTGGGATGATAGTGTTGAAGGCCGAGCTGAAGTCCACAAACAGGATCCTCACATAAGTCTCTGGTCTGTCCAGATGTTGCAGGATATAATGCAGTCCCATGTTGACTGCATCATCCACAGACCTGTTTGCTAGGTAAGCAAACTGCAGGGGGTCCAGCACGAGTCCAGTGATGTCCTTCAGGTGGGCCAGCACCAGTCTTTCAAATGACTTCATGACCACAGATGTTAAAGCCACAGGTCTGTAATCATTTAGTCCTGAAATTTTGGGGTTCTTTGGCACAGGGATGATGGTGGAGTGTTTAAAGCAGGAAGGGACTTCGCACAGCTCCAGTGATCTGTTGAAGATCTGTGTGAAGATGGAGGCCAGCTGGTCAGCAGAGGATTTCAGACAGGCTGGTGTCACACCGTCTGGGCCTGGTGCTTTCTATCTCTTCTGTTTCCGGAAGACACACATCTTTTTCACAGACCTGAAGTGTAGGAGGGGGAGAGGGGGGTTGCTGGAGTTTTTAATAGATCCATGGAGAGAAGGTCAGAATGGGTGTGGGGTGTGAGACAGGGTTTTTCAAACCTGCAATAAAACTCATTCAAATCGTCGACCAGTTGTTGATTCTCCACAGTGCTGGGGGATGGAATCTTGTAGTTGGTGATGACTTTCAGTCCTTTCCACACTAATGCAGGGTCATTGGCAGAAAACTGGGTCCTCTTAGCCGCTCTGATCTCCTTTGTCAGTGTGTTTTTGGCCTGTTTATAAGACTCTGTCCCCTTTCCTGTCAGCATCTTCTTTGGCCTGACGGAGCTGTCTGAGTTTTGCAGTGAACCACTGTTTGATGGAGTCTTGTAGTTGGTGATGACTTTCAGTCCTTTCCACACTAATGCAGGGTCATTGGCAGAAAACTGGGTCCTTTTAGCCGCTCTGATCTCCTTTGTCAGTGTGTTTTTGGCCTGTTTATAAGACTCTGTCCCCTTTCCTGTCAGCATCTTCTTTGGCCTGACGGAGCTGTCTGAGTTTTGCAGTGAACCACTGTTTGTCGTTGTTGTAAGGTAAATGAGTCCTGGTAGCGATGCACATATCCTCACAGAAACTGATATATGATGTTACAGAATCCGTGAGCTCGTCCAGATCGGTGGCAGCAGCTTCAAAAACACTTCAATCAATGCAGTCGAAGCAGACTTGTAAATCCCACTCTGCTTCATTAGTCCATCTTTTTACAGTCCTTATTACAGGTTTAGCTGATTTCAGTTTCTGCCTGTAGATCGGTATAAGATGAACCAGACAGTGTTCAGAGAGCCCCAAAACTGACCGTGGGAGAGAGTGATATGCATCCTTTATTGTGGCGTAACAGTGGTCCAGTATAGGCCTATTACTGTTCTCTGGTAGGACATTTAACGTGCTGTCTGTATTTTGGCAGTTCACATGAGAGATTTGCTTTATTAAAGTCCACAAGAATGATTATAACAGAGTCCAGTTATTGTTGCTCTATATCTGTGATTTGATCAGCCAGTTGTTGTAACGCTGAATTCATGCACGCTTGCGGTGGAATGAAAACGCTTACGAAAATGCTGAAACGCATCACTCAAAACACTGTGCTAAAGGATATATTATCTATTGTAATGTTACAGTAGTAATTTAGCAGACAAATATTCACATCGTTTTAGAATAGGTTTAAAGGGAGCAAGGGCAGACAACTACACAACCATTACAAAAATTAACGATGGTTAATTTTCGGAAGTGAAAAGTATGACTCATTATAATGCAATAACATGTTCAGTATTAGGATTTTACTATAAAGATATTGTAATGATGTAATATTTATTGTAATAATTTTGACATTTAGGCAATTTAGAAAATATCAGGAGAAATGAAGAGACTAAAAGGAAAATGGAAGTGAAGGTGTAGTTCAGGAGAGAACTTTTAATAAATGTCCCCAGTCTAAGGATTAAAAAAAAAAATTATGTGACAGCCAAACAAACAAACAAACAAAAAAAAAATAGGGTTGTCCTTGTTTCAGAATTTTTTGTGGGTGTATGGGATGTCCTGGATGAGTGTGAGATTTCCCGGCCTGAAATTTTGTCCCTGAATTTGATTGCTGGTGCGTAATTCTTAAAGTATTGAGCTGCTGGGACCACTACACCCGCACTAAGGTATACCACCTGTGCTTCCTGTTCTTTGTACTTCAACTTCAATTGAATTCAATTCAAGTTTATTTGTATAGCGCTTTTCACGATACAAATCGTTGCAAAGCAACTTTACAGCAAATTAAGTTTCTACAATATTTAGTGGTAGCTTATCAGTGGTGACTGTCAGTTAATGTACATATGGCAGAAATTTATGGAAAAATCAATTAAAGACGTAATCAATTAAAGACCTAATCAAACAGACGATGAACACTATTAACAGCAATTATTATATGATGCAATCAAACTTATAGCAAAAAGCACTTCCTGCAGTGAGAAACCTGTAATTCTGGCATTATTCATTTTTGTAAATGACATGTTCCCTAGTCGTTTTTCAGAGCTGTGTGTCCTTATTTGGGTAAAAGTCAGAAATTTGGCATCTGGTTAAGAGGCAAAGAGTGAAGTAAAAATAAATGTTTCACATGAGATTTAAAATCAAGCATAACTAAAAGCAATTATTAGAATTAACTTCACATGGAGGACTTGTCCATTGCTGTTAGGAGACAGAAAGTGCTTAGCGATGTTAGGTTGACATGATATATTCAGGAGTATTAGCTTAAACTTGACATCTTTTATCACAGAAATTTTGTCACAGAAATTCCAGGAGCCCCGTATATAACATGTGGGGGAAAAAAAAAAAAAAATTGTTCCCGCAACATATTAATTAGTTAAATCCATGTATTAAGGATTTATTATTTGGGAAAACATAATCTGACTGAACCTCAAATTATATTTGAAAGCTGTCATATATGTTACAAACTAGGGATGCAAAGATACCATTTTTTCAGAACCGATCAAAAATTCTGAGTATCGGCCAATTCCGATCCGATACCAGCGCAGTTTGTTTTTTAAATCAATGTAGAATTTCTATACTTCTGTTGGTTGACCTGATTGATCATCACTCTTGTTTGTGTTAAACACAATCTGCTAAATATAGACAACTTCATTTTGATTAAAAATAACAAATGAAAAAATATATCATCATAATCTATGACAAAAAAATACTATTATAGGTTAGTGGATAATTCAGCAGCAAAAGTTATTCTAGAAAAATCATGGGTGCACAATAATTTTATAAACACATTAAACTAAACTATACATTTAGTGAAACAACATTATTTAGTGGGGAACAAATAAAAGTTTATAAGTGTAGGACTAAATCTGGTAAAATGTTACACATTGCTCTTTGTATTGTTGTAAAATACATTCATGAAAAACAAGTAGCCTAAATATATGTATAAAATATATAGGCCTACTATAAAATTAAAAGACATTTCTTTTAAATGCATAGCACAGTAATGAAAGCAGCAACATATGATAGATAGAAGAGAACAAAAAAGACTATTGGTAATCTTTCATTGCGCAAAAGTATAATACGAAAGGGTATGGCTCCAATACAGAGCGGCACAAAGCGCTTATGCGCATATGACTTAAATATTCATCTATACGTCACATTAAACTATGGAACGGCTTCATAACACTTGAAATATAGTGCACGAAAACGTTATGGTGCTTTATAATGTTTTTGTGCCTTTCGTGGGGCTTAACAATAACACAAAATAGTACACACAGTTTACACACAATATCGGATTTGGATCGTCTTTTCTATACGTCACATTAAACTATGGAACGGCTTCATAACACTTGAAATATAGTGCACGAAAACGTTATGGTGCTTTATAATGTTTTTGTGCCTTTCGTGGGGCTTAACAATAACACAGAATAGTTTACGCACTATATCGGATTTGGATCGGTCTCGTCTGACCGATACCCGATCCGACAGAAAATGCCAGTATCGGAGCCGATACAGATACTGAGTATCAGATCGATGCATCCCTTTTTATGAAAGGAAATACAACAGCAGGAGCAGTTTTACATAAGGCATTCATGTGCAAAAAATACATCAAACATCTGTAAAAATCAGCAAAAATATTCTTTTGAAAGCAGCATAAATAGGAATTAATATGTGAATATTTCATGTGAGAATTATTAAAAGCATGCATTGGTGCATTAAAATAGTCCTCTAAAATTCACTGTGTTTAACAAACATTTTTGCCAATAATACATTAACAATAATTTGGGTCAGTGTGTGTTTTGTTCAAATGTACATTTTTTAAAAGAATGTTGCTGTTGGAGGGAATTTAAAGGCCTGACGTTTATTCAAACACATGGAAAATTACTCAAATGTAAATTCAAAAGACTAATGACGAAAACAACAACATCTCAGGAAACGGAGCCTTTGGCATATGCACGCTTGGTTCAAATGATTTGAATTTCTAATTTAAACCACAAAATGCTTCAACCCGATCAAACAAGTCCTTCAAGTTTAGAGATTTTTAACATCCTGATTTAGGAGAATGCAACAGCAAAACTTTAATGTACATCATACAATTCATGTTTAAATTATGTCAAATGTTTCATAAATGTGTTCATATTACACAAATGTCTGTTCACAAACAGCTTTAGCACATTTAAAAGAAGCAGTTGTGGGTTATTTGGCATTGCAGCTTTTGCAGAAAATCTTTGTTCCATCAGGGAAGAATCCTGCCCCGACCAGAGACACCGAACACTCAGAGCACTTAAAACACGGCTGATGCCACTGACGCTCCTCAAACGAGATGTACTTCCCTTCTCCAAAACCTGAGAAAAACTCATTTTGATGAGTGGTCTCTACAATCTCTAAAACAATATAGTCATGATTTAAAACATCGTTTAAATTGTTTTTATAGACTGAAAGGGTTACACTCTAAGAAAAGTTAGTAAAAATAGGGCACAATGTACTGAATTTTCCATATTAATTATTCATCTATGTTTTATTCATATATTGTATTATGCATTGTTCCACAGTAGTTCCACAGAAGGTCAATAGGTTTGGAACATCATGTGGGTGAGTAAATCAAAATATCTTTTTAATGACAACCAGACCCTTTGCAGAACTTTAAAGACATTAAAACATATAAACTGTGGATATTTGACCCCATCTTGAGTTCACGACCCATTGGATATAAGATTGACTGACTCAACATTGTGAAGCACCGTCTGCCTCCAAACACATGACCCTGTTTATGTGACAACTGTCTCTTGTTTTTGACAAAGCGTTTCTGTTAGCAGCTGTAGGGACTGGTAATAAAGAGCGGTCTTGTTATAAGAGACACACTAACACACACTGACCTGTGATGGGTTTGTCGCAGGCAGAGCATTTTTGGGCGTACAGGTTGCTGAAGCACTTCACGCAGTATGGATCTTCTCCCCGTGTTGTGAAAGGCTGTCCCGCAAGCTGTACTTTACAACCAGTACACAGGAAACATTCTTTATGCCAGGGCTCGTCTCTATATGTAACACCACCTTGAACCAAGCTCTGTAAGAGAGAAGACCAACAAAACACACTCTAATTCACTGGCATACAACTGAAAGAGTTTTGCAATGGAATAAAAGCAAAAAATACTTAATAATTAGATTTATATTCTGAAATGTGTAGTTTGCACTCTTAAATAATGGCTCCAAAATGGGGTTTTCGCAGTGATGCCATAGAAGAACCAAAGAACCTGTCAGTGAACAGTTCTTAAAAGAACAATTTTTTTATAGTGTGAAGAACATTAATAATCTAAATAACCTTTTGTAAAGGTTCTTCACTGAAACTTCAATGCCGATAAAGAACCTTTTCATCTCACCTCTTTGCAGTGGGCACAGTGTGGGGCGAATCGTCCCTTGTAACAGGGCACGCAGTAGTACTCGCCCTTATCTGGGATGAACGACTGGGCGCCGATGGGCTGCTCACAACCACAACAAACAAAGCATTCCTCGTGCCACGCGCAGCCTCCGTACTCCAGCTGCTTGGAGCCTGAGAGATCGAAATCATTTCATATAAAACTATTCAAGATTCAAGATCTTTATTGGCATAGGTACAATGAAATTCTTCTTTTGTTATCTCCTCACGCGAAAAACGGGGTAGAAGGGGAACAGACAATCAATTACAAAGACAATACATATAAAGAATATACAATAAAGTACAAGACATTAAAAAAGATAAAAACAATATGCAATAAAGGACAAAACAAGAAAGAATAGCGAAAATAAACAATGACAAAAGTATATGTACTTTATGAATAAGCGAACCCGAAACAAACTGTTAAACACCTTGTCTACATTGAGAAGACATTGTCTACATTAAGTAAAGCATTCAACTAATGGGAGCTCTTCAAAAAAGTTCTTAACATGTATTTTTGTCTTATTGTCCAGTTAAAATATCTTAAAATTCTTGAAACAAGATAAATTTGATAAAACAAGATGAAGAAGAAAAAACAAGTTAAAACCAAGTAAAAGAAAACAAACAAACAAAAAAACAACAACCATGCTCTCAATTGAATAGATATTTTTTCCAAACATTTTTAGTTATTTAAGTAGCTAAAAATGACTAATTAAAAAGAGGACCCTTTGCATTTTATTGGATAAACACCCTTGAGTAAAAGATGTCATTCATATTTTTGTTATATATATTTTTATATTAATATTTGTCAATTTTTACAAGTACATTACAGTGTTGTTAGTTAACTAAGAATAAAACAAAATAAAGATGAAAATAAAGCTGAAATAAAATCAAATAAAATATAAATATATGAAAAACGCAAAATTAAAAGATTTAAACAAAAATGAGAAATGTTGCCTTGGTCAGTAAATGAAAAGAAGTTTATGTGGAAGTAGTAAAATGACCAAAAGTAAACTGAAATAAAAAATAAAACGAATTGGTAATATAAAAAAACTAATATAAATGAGCAACTGCTGTAACATAATTACTAAAACTTAAATTAAAATGAAAATATAAAAATAAAACCTAAAACAAAATATGAATCAATACTGTAATAGTAATACTAAAATACTAAAATTAATAAAAACATTCTACTATAATAAAATACTAGCATCTAGAATAGACTCAGAGATAACAGACATGAACTGAAAGCCACAAACTTGTCATTTGGAATTCTTGGGGTTTTTAATTTCAGAGCTAAACCTTATGTCATAGCTTTCATCATTTTTAGCTTGTTACATCATTGCACAATCAGTGAATGTGCTTCTACCTGTCTGCATCTGCAATGGATTTTCTCTGAAAAAGAGCCTCACCTGTGTATACACTACAGGTTCTTCTCAAGTGCTTTTACTGTGCTGCGGGTGGCCGATCATGTCTGATGGGTAACTAGCAACTACGAAGCTAAAGGCTACACGTGATGTCACACCACACAACTGTGCACATATTTGGGCCTGAACTGCTCTAAATCTACAAAAGCCTCCTGTGTGGGAGTTTTGTTTGAGGCGTGTCAAAATCGTAGGCTGGAAATGGCGCAATGGCTGGTATTTCAATAAAAATGCATGTGGAAACTGGAATAAGGTATAAGTTGCAGATACAATGTTCAGGTTTGGTGGGAAAACAGCTCACCTGATCTGTGTATAATGACTGAGAATGGGTGTGAAAACAAGCCCAGAGGGGGACTGAGACGGCGGGTCTGATTTGAATGAACGAGGGAGGAGAGATCTGCCACTTTCAGTTTGTAATTTTATCCTTTTGGAACTTTCCCCTTCTCTTATTTCTCTCCTAAAAGCTCCAGAGAGACAGAGGCAGGCGGCGGAGTGTAATTATGGGTAACGAAACGCCCGAGTGTTGGCATCAGGCCTGCAGGCGTGTGCGTTTTCTCTCTCAGCTGAGCGTGTCTGTAATCATACTGTCACATCTCTACTGCACCCTGACGCCCAATCAAAACTCATTAACTCGGTTTCTGCTTTAGCGGACAGGGTGAGAAACACACCTAAACTTCATTTCCTGAAGGTTTGAAGGGTGAAAGATTTCATATTTGATGTGTGTATGTTTGTGGTCTATACAGTCTAGTAACATAGACATGGTAGCAAAGATTTTTTAATGTTTTTGAATGAAGTCTCTTATGATCACCAAAGCTGCATTTATTTGATCAAAACTACCGTAAAAACAGTACATTTTGAAATATCTTTACAATTTAAAATAACAAATTTCTGTTTTAAAATGTAATTTATTCCTGTGATGCAAAGCTGAATTTTCAGCATCATTACTTCCAGTCTTCAGTATCACATGATTCTTCAGAAACCATTCTAATATGCTGATGTGCTGCCGAAGAAACCTTAATTGTTATTATAAGTGCTGAAAACAATGGAAGCCCATTTCTGCTACAGAATAAATATAAAAAATATAATTGTGACTCTTTTATATCTCACAATTGGGACTTTTTTTCACAGAATTGTGAGTTTATTTCTCGCAATTCTGAGTTAATATCTCGCAGTTCTAGTTTTTTCTCAGAATTGCAAGATGTAAACTCGCAATTGCGAGAAAGAAGAATTCGGAATTGTGAGTTAAGTCAAAATTATCTTTTTTTTATTTATTTTTAATTTATTTGTTATTCTGTGGTGAACACAAGCTTCCATTGAAAAACAGTTGTGCTGCTTAATATTTTGGTGGAAACCATGATACATTTTTTTTTTTTCAGGATTCTTTGATGAATAGAAAGCATTTATTTAAAATAGAAATCTTTTGTAACATTATAAATGCCTTTTCTGTCACTTTTGGTCAATTTAATACATACTTGCTGAGTAAAGGTATTTATTTAGAAAAAAAAAATCTTACTGACCCCAAACTTTTGAATGGTAGTGTATATGAAATATAAGCATGTGTGTTTAGGAACTGTACCTGGCATCACAGTCTTCCCGCAGGCCACACATTTAGATGAAAACTCATTGCAGTAACAGTCGTTACACACCAGGGCATCTTCCTGACAGGTGAACGACTTGTCGGCCAGCGAACGGTTGCAGTGTGAGCAGCGGAAACAGTGTTCGTGATAATGCCTGTCCTCATAATACAGCTCCTGAACATAGACAGCACAGCAACATATGTCAGTTCAACTGTAAATTATATTAAATCATTCTAGAAAAGCATGCGGTAACCATGCGGTGACCATGCATGAGACTGAATACCCTGGACAGTTGGAGACAGTATATGTGGCATGTTGTTTTCAGGCTACTAGAACCTGTTATTAGTCCATAGAAATTAGCATTTTACTCCATTGAATCAGTTACATCATCAAGCTGTGGGTCAAAGGTCACTGCACAGCTGAACGAAAGGTGAAATGAGGTGACGCAGCTGCTTGTGCAGGAAGTTCTATGGCAGGGCTGTCCAAACTCGGTCCTGGAGGGCCGGTGTCCTGCAGAGTTTAGCTCCCTAAAGCAGGGCTGTCCAAACTCGGAAGCAAAACAGATCTTGCTGTTCTCCGTCATTTCCACTACCATGAAAGGAATGGTTTGAGACCTTTACGCAATAAAAAGACATGCTTTACTACTGTCTGCTGATCCAAGCTCTCAAAGATCAGACGGCTATGAATACCAAACACAGAAGAGAAGCTTCTCGTGTTTGTCTTACACACCTCCAGTGAAGATGTGAGAAATCAAATCTGACACATCTCACTGTTTCTATGTACACTAGTTCTGTTGATGTTAGTGACCGTTTGCCGTTTCTCACAGAAATTGAATCAAAACTATCTATCTATCTATCTGGCTGTCTGTCTGTCTATCCATATTTTATTAATTATAATAATATAATGTAATTTAAAAATATTTAATTTGTGAATCATTCATAACGAATCATTGATCATTCAAAAACTCACCGGTGAGTTGTGCTCGATGAGCTCTTTGCACTGCTGGCAGGTGTTTGCATACAGACGGTCGTAACAGGGGACGCAGTGGGGAACGTCGTTCACCTGGATGTATTTCCTGCCGTACAGAGACTCCTTACAGCTGTCACAGTCAAACGGCTCCGACATGATGCTCCGGTCCTCTCTGACTCATACAGCACAGTCAACAGATTGCGATGCGCTCTAGTCCTAAAGAAAATCAAGATTTAAAGAAAGTTGTCATTGAGTAATTAGCTGTGAGCCTTTCCTCATCAAAAAGAAGTGCCAAGCAATTTATATAGCCTGTAATCAAAGATAAATCTGTTTTGATTTGTAATCAGTGTAAATCTTTCATCACAGTAGGCCTGAAGGTTTTTAATTAAATTACTGGAGTAAATTTAAATGAAATACTCTGTGTGTGTGTGTGTGTGTGTGTGTGTGTGTGTGTGTGTCGAGAGAATGAAAGTAAGACAGAGTGAGAGAGTCTGCCAAAGGATATACTACAGATCAGAGTCTAGTCCGTTATGATTCAATGGATAAGACATTCATCAAGATCCAGTGGGGAAACAAGTGGTCATTCTATATGTGACCCTGGACCACAAAACCAGTCATAAGGGTCAATTTCTGAATAAATCAGCTTTCCATTGATGTATGGTTTGTTATGATAGGACAATATTTGGCCGAGATACAACTATTTGAATATCTATACAACTATTTTGAATAATCTGAGGGTGCAAAAAAATCTAAATACTGAGAAAATCGCCTTTAAAGTTGTCCAAATGAAGTTCTTAGCAATACATATTACTAATCAAAATTAAGTTTTGATATATTTACAGTAGGAAATTTACAAAATATCTTAATGGAACATGATCTTTACTTAATATCCTAATGATTTTTGGCATAAAAGAAAAATCGATAATTTGACCCATACAATGTTTTTTTTGGCTATTGCTACAAATATACCCGTGCTACTTAAGACTGGTTTTGTGGTCCAGGGTCACATATGCGTGTTAAATATGTGATCATAACTGTGTGTGTCCTGGACAGAGCGTGAGAATAAACAGATTCCCACACTGAAAACTCAACAAATCTCTAACTGCTCTGTACAAACTGAAATGTAATGTGATGCATTACAGAGCAAAACTGGATATTCAGTCAGTGAGAAAACATGTAGGGTGGGGTGGGACTTATTTAAACATTGCAAAATGATTGTTTTAGAAAGGTTGAAATATTTATTGTTGATGTCACCCAAAAAGTGAAGTCAATTCAATTCAGAGGCATGTAGTTAAAGATTATGAAAACTAACATTTAGCACCATGCTAAAACATGCATTGATTAACTATTCTGTTTAAGATCACCTGGGATTTCTTAAAACGTTTTTGGATCAAACCATTTACCAAATGCATAAATGGGATGACACTAGTCAGATTAAAGTCCACGTTAAGTGTATTAGAATATCAGTTATTGTTATTATTATTTTTTAATGATGACACTCTGCACTCTCTTTTTTCTCACAAAATGACAATTTCAAGTCAAATGAACATTTCAATAACCATTTATTTATAATTTATTTCATTCAATTTATTTATTTAGTAAACTAAACCAGTAGCTGTGAAATAAGCAGAATAATGAATATTTAACCAGCCATTATCACAAAATAAAATGCTTAAAACTCATCCATAAAATTAAATTAAAATAAAATAATTTAATTTAAAATATAATAATTACACTGGCTAGCAGTAGCCGCTCGCATCAAATTCAAGGTACTGATGCTTGCCTACAAGACCACCACTGGCGCTGCACCAATATACCTAAACTCGCTAGTTCAAACTTATGCGCCCTCCAGAAGCTTGCGTTCTGCAAGTGAACGGCACCTTGTGGTGCCATCCCAAAAAGGCTCAAAATCCCTCTCACGGACCTTTTCCTGGACTGTGCCCAGCTCGTGGAATGACCTCCCTATCTCAATTCGAACAGCTGAGTCTTTAGCCATTTTCAAAAAACATCTAAAGACACATCTTTTTCGCCAGCACCTGACCAACTAATACTAGCACTTACCTATTCTATTCTGTTCTATTCCATTCTATTATTTAATAATAATAATAATAATAATAAAAAAAATGTAAAAAAAAAAAAACCTAGCTACGTGTACTGTGCTAGACTAACTGAGACTTGTCATGGCACTTGTACACTGTTGTTCTCTCGTTGGTCTCATTGCTTCTATTGTTCTCATTTGTAAGTCGCTTTGGATAAAAGCGTCTGCTAAATGATTAAATGTAAATGTCATTTTGTAAATACTGACAATCTCTCTTTATTCTTACATAATGAAATGAATTCAACTCATGAACATTTCAATAACTATTTATTCATTTAAAATTTTTAAATTAAATGTATGTATTTAGTAGTTGTAAACAAGCAAAATAATGTACATTTAACCAGCCAATATGACAAAATAAAACACTTCAGGAGTGACAATGACCAACAAACTGTCAGTTTTCTCTGCCTGCATCTCTTGTCCCACTGTAATTCCTGCTCTGCTTTGGCATTCTTTGTGGGAGTCCTTCTGATTGTAGAACATACATCTAATGAGATGTAAAACTCCCCAGGGGTGTTTGTGACAGTGATAGCGCGGTCTCCCCCTCTTTCACATCCTGTTTTCACCCCCAAATGAGCAAACGGCCCTGTAAAACTGAAAATAGTTATGAATCACGCTCACATTCCCTGAAAACCATATTGTTTTTGTCGAGAAATGACGATAGCAGTGCAGTACAAGAAACTGAGTGACTCTTGATATAAACAACAGAACATTCCTTCATGAGGATCGAGAGGTTTGCCAGTCAAATGTTTGGACAAACTGTCATATTATTTTCCACATAATAGTTAAGACAGCAAAACTAACACACAAAATAACACAAATGGAAATATGGGAATTATGTAGTGACCAAACCATGTTGCACAAAGAATAATTATAGTATATTAGAACTACTTCTTTGTCTAGATTCCAGCTCTGCTCACACTGGACATTGCTTTTCAAACACTACTGAACTCATTCATTGAATAAAATAAAATAAAATCACCCCCACTTATAACGAACACTCAAGCTCAAGCTTGCGGTGTGAAAGAGGTGTAACTCATCCACTTCAGTAAAATAAAATAAAATAAAGATGCACACTTAAATCAGTTCACTATCTGGTCCAACCATCCATAAATAAAATATCCATAAATAAAATAATAAATCATTCTCACACAAACAGAAGGAAGAGAGACTAATGTGTTAGTGTTGTGGAATGTACATACTGTAAGCAGAAAGATAAAGGGAATGTGGGAATCATTCCAAGCAGCCTAGTTCTCAGATCATAGGTGACACTTTCCTACTACACTAACATACCAGAGTCTGTGTGTCTCGCTATGTTAGACATGTCAAACTATAACAGACAGCTCACTTCACGACTCACAAAAGAGTGTCTGCGCGTCTGACCCATATAGTATTACCTGTCAGGATATGACTGAGTGGAAAGACCTGGAAAATTTAACACAGAACACAACAGATCTGTGTGCTTTTAGCTCATTATTATACAGCTTCTAGTTTGATTAGATTTACAGTAGGGCTGCAACTAAAAACCATTTGATAATCAATTAATCTGACAGTTTTCACACTTCTTTTTCTTAAATATGATTATTAAAAACGAACTGGTTGCAATCAGTCTCAAAGTGAATGATGAAAAAAAAAAACACATGAAATCAGATCTCATCATTCAGACTGTCATGCATTAACAAAATGTTTTACGTTTTTAACTGCATTTCAAACCAAACCACCTACAAATGTTCAATCAGCAAAAATCTGTTGTTGATCACATTTCAAACTAAATGTATCCTCTTTTTTCTTTTTAACAGCCCTATCCTCTAAAAATCAAACTTGATTTCATTCCAAATAATGCTATATAACTTTCTCCATTACCTAAGCCTGCCATCTAAAACCAATCAAATAAATTCCACAGCATTCCCACATGATTAAACCTGCCTCCACAAGGTGCAGATTAACGACTTTGTGTAACAAGTAATATTTTCCAATCCACATGCACAGACTTTATCAACAAGACCATCTTAGATTCATGATGCCGCCCATCCAAAAGTACAAACTTAGAAAGACCCCATGCAATGGCAAATCCAGGAAAGTCGTCTCTGTTCTGGCTCCACCTCATATATTTCCTAAACCACAGGTCTCCAAAGAAACACGCTGCTAAATGGTCTGTAAAACCAAACATTAGAACAACAAAAACTTCTTTGAATGTGGTTTCCACAGGTATTCAATGTACCGGAGACCAGCTTATTCAATGCACCATGTGTTATGAGAAGAAAATAGAATAAATCCTTAATTTTACACAAAATCACTCACACTTATTGAGGCACATAGCACATATTGTTCAGCAAATGCAAAAGTTTCCAACCCCATTGTTCAGTGTGGAAAATTAACCAGCTGGTTAAGTGTGTATGTGCCCTCTGCTAGTTATTTGTTTACTGAGGTCTATGTGCCAATGAAATTATTGCTATTGAACACCAGTGGACCAAATGTCAATGTTATTAAACCTTGGTTTCATTCTGAAGTCATTCAAAATGAATCCATCGGCACATTTTAAATGTGTTGTTGGTAAATTTATCCCAGATTCAGAGTACCACAAAAAGTACTTTATCTCCACTTGCGTGTAAACTTGCAGTTAAATGTTGCATTTCCCATATGACTGTGAGTGTGTAGGTCTAGTTTGGGAATAAAATGAGAAGAACTCATTTATTACAATAAACAGCAGGAAAAGGGAGAATGGCCAAACTAAGAAATCTAGGAAATTAAGCAAATTTAATTCTATAATTAAAAATAAATAAATACAATTATTAATGAAATATTACAAATACCACAGTCAAAGAGTTAGTATATTATTATTTCCCATATTTCTACCAAATTTTATAGCTAAAAAAGTCAGACTGAGAATTTGAGAAAGACTTGGAAAGACAAGCAAAACTACGAATTTTGGGAAATGAAGCAAACTGTAATTAAAGTAAAACTTGATGATTAAAGTGCAAATTCCAGGCTGGAGAATAAATACCAATTTGGGGTACGTAAAGATGTTTAATTCTGAGTCTAATGTTTTGGTTGAGATCTTGGGAGGGTTGTTTACTCTTAAGAACAATGTGTCTTCCTGCCATGGGACATGTTAGAGCCAACTTCTGCTGTTTAGCAAACAACACAGCCATCATATGATGCTTATTAAACATATTTATACGCCAGACAGGTTTTACTATGTGAGAAGAAGGGATTGCATTGCTTTCCTTATCCAGCCTTTGGCATGCATTCTGTTGGTTAACCCAATGGTTGGGTTAGTCCATATTTGACCCAAAGCTGGGTTGAAACAACCCAGCATTTTTTTAGAGTGTAGACACTAAACCTCAAATAATTTCACAAATGCTTCAGCATTAAGAGAAAGATTCAATACAGTCATTTGAAAAAGGCATGGCACAGCCACTTAGGGTATATTTACACGACAATGATGACATAAAAACAGAAAAGTTTTGCGTTTCTCATATTGTTTCATATCGTTTTCAAAAACTTTCACTTTGAAATGTTTTCAGGCACGTTGTTGTGCAAATGAATAACCAAAATGCATGAAAAGTTTTCCCTTTTTAGTTAAAAGATTGCTTTTTTTTCAGTTGTAGGTTACTTTGGATAAGTGTGAATGTCTGCTGAATACATTTAAATATAAACCCAGTGTTCTTATTTAAAACTATTAAAAATCGTTGTATAATATAAACAGATAAAATATTTGAAAAATATAAATATTAAATTATAAACTTAAAAAACCTAAATGTAAATTAGAAATGTTGTCTTGGAAACTAGCCGAAATAAACTGAAACCTAAATGTAAAAGTATTAAAAACTAAAATAAAATTAAAGCTAAATAGAAATATTTATTTAAACAAAAACTATAAGACTAAAATGACAAAAACATGAAACAAAAATACTAAAACTTCAACTAAAATCAAAATGAAAACTGAAAATATAAAAATGAAAGCTAATTCAAAACATTAATAAATACTTTAATAATATTTAAACGATACTAAAATTACTGCGTATACCGACCAGAATACTTTAGAAACTGCATAACAACACCCTGGCAACCCATTCCCATCTTTGCAAGTATTCTCGTAAACACAGTAATTTAGGTCTTAAGTGAAAGCAAACAGCAGAGAAAGAAAACACGTGTGTAACAGTATATTGGATCCGAGCAGCTCTTAAAGTGACAGCAGTGTGTCATTCATGTTAAACTAACAAAAGGGAGAAAGTCTCTCAGTACTTTTGACTAAATCCCTTTTGTAACTTTAATAAGAGGAAATATACATTTAATTCAACAGTGAAGAATATGCAGTGTTTTTATACATTTGATTACTTTATACAATGTATGTAGCTTTTCTTATTTTTGTCATACTGTATTTTTTTTGTCCTATTGCTTGTAATTAGTTTCTTATTCTTATTTAATCGCTGACTGTTTACTTGTCTTCAGTGAGCTTTTATTTATTTATTTTTTTTAATTAGGCTAGTATTATTGTGATATTGACACTGGTGACTAGAATTATGAAATTTCTATGGTGTCAAAAATGTACCTTATTTAAAGCAAAAATAACTATATTGTGATATATATAACTTTATTGAGATATAAAATAACTAGATTGTGATATAAGATTTGAATCATATCGCCCACCCCTAAAATCAAGCTAAGCTAAAATTTTAACCCTTGTGCTCTGCTGAAAATCCATTACCTAATTTGGTGTTCATAGTCAAAAATGACCAGCCTCTTAAAAGCTCTTAAAAAGGTTCTTAAATCGTAAATCTCTCATTATTGTACATTATCACCAAATCTTGGATTCAGTCTTTGGTGCATAGGCTCAGATCAATGAGGCCTATGATCAAGCAATTTAAAAAACAAATGCAAAACCTGTACTAATTGAAAGAAAAGAAGAAAGTAGCAATTTTGGTGGAAAAACATTCCAAAAAGTACAAAAATGGTTGTTATACACTGTGTAAGCAAGTCAGTAAGCTTTAAACCAAAGCGATACCATTAACTCGCATTTTTGGGAAAATTAAAATCCTCTTTGGGTTAAAATAACCAGAACACAACATGAGGTTTAAGTCAAATTAAGTGAATACATTTAATCAAAATATTCAAGTAGACAAATTCAACAAAAAAGTCATGTAAATAGTTGCCTTCATTTTCTAAAAGTTGTCTGAAGAGCTCATTTTGTATAGTGCAGTGTGTCTGCAAGCCTAGTGTTCTTCACTGGCATTTCTCCAGCTATTGTCTCTGTGCCCTGTACCACCCTGTGGGAATGCCACTGTGGTCAGGGCCATTGTCGGGAAGAATTTGATGGTTTCAAAAAGGGCAAACAAAGGCATTTTTCTGCCTAAAAATGGCATATTCCACTTTCCAGGCAGAGAAAAACCAGATGGAGTTCTTAGAAGACCAACATTTCTGCTAGTTACTCATGGAGAAAGACTGCGCACAACATGCCATTTTTTGGGCCAACTAAAAACATTATGTGGCCACAGCCCCCCCACTTCCATTTACACCCATCCGTTCAGACCCCATAACGACGTGTTTGCTGGATAAGATTGGAAACTATTCAGTTTGGTGCCAAATTCACTTTACGCCTGGAAGTCGCTGGTGACATCATACACTTAGATGGTGGAAAAACCGAGGCGTGCGAGTGCAGACACCGCAGTTGGCTTGCGGATAGAGAATTAATTCCAATGTTAGTCTTAATTACTCTTTTACAAGCCATATTTACCCTGCTCTATAAACAAGCATCTTGTTTACCTCACTGGCGCCTTCCCATAATGCCATGTTCTATCTATGTCTGCCATTACAATGAAACTAAATGAGGCAGCTCTTTAAAGTTAAGGTCAAAGTTAGTGTTGCAGTATGTAGCAGTACAAAAATGAGGTCAAATACATATTCTACACAAATGATGTTTGCAAGCATGTGGTCCCATAGCACATACTTAATGAGTAACTGTGGTGGTAATGAACTCTTCATCTTTTAATGACTGTCTTTAAAAAATAATTTCCCCTTGGGCACCTTAGTATTTCCATTGGCAGACAAAACTTTTATGCATATTCGATTGTGCACTCAATTAGAAATGATAAAAAATGTTAAGAAATAAAAAAACAAAATTGTGTGTTTAGTCTTAATTATTAAAATATGTTAATGTCTGTTAAAATATGTGTCCCATTAAATGGATAGTCCACATTAAAATTAAAATCCTCTCATCTTTTACTCATGTGGTTCCAAACCTGAAGATATTTTGAAGAATACTGGTAACCAAACAGTTTTGGTTCCCATTGACTTTCAATATATATATATATATATATATATATATATATATATAAAGGATTTTAATTTTCCCTCTTCTTGAGTCCTTCACTGAGTACTTGGGTACTTCTTGAAGCATTCATCTGCAAGACAAGTGTAACTAATTTATTAACACTCAGGAGAGGGACAGCATAATTTCCACAAGGGTTTAAACCTCATTAATCCAGTGGTTGAAGTTATAGTAAGGTCTATACATCCTTCCCGTAGTGGAAATTGCTCTTCTATTCATCAGTTCGAAAACTGTGGCTCCATGAGAAACACATGAGTGTCCACAAAACTGCATCCCTCAAATTTATGTGCCCCAGCAATGAGCGCCACAAATTCCATAAATTCAACTACAATTTCAGAGCAGTCACTATTTTGGTGGATTGAGTCTCAAAGACCAATGTTTTCAAACACTAAAGCTGATTAACTGATCTGATCTATTCTCTACCTCACTGTTTCCTCTTTCAAGGGAATACCGAGGTCAACAGTGGTGCAAAACTAGTTATATTTACATATAAGTACTAATTTAAAACATATTACACTTAAAAATAAAGCAGTATGGCAGTACAGTACATTGATGGTATCAGATGGTAATACCAGAGTAAGTCATGTTTTTTTCCCCCCACAATACACATTGTTTTAAAGCAGCTTTATAATTTCTAATTGTCCACATTTAGCAGTTTAGAGCTGGGTATAGGATAGTTTTACATCAAAGTAAACAATAATTTGGCAGTCATTTTGTTTCATGGTGTATAAATATACCATGATTGGTATCACCGCAGTGCTTTTTGTAAGTACTGGAGAGGGAATCTGGGAAGGAGAAAAGACACTTGGGACAGAAAAGTGTGGGCAAATTCCATCTTAATATTGGTGAGAAACAGAGAGAGATATGGTGTGTGTGTGTGAGAACTGCCTGTATTCTGAACAAAAATAACTCACTTTTTATGCTGCCTTTGTTGCTGAGCCCCTGGGGTGCCACACACACACACACACACACACACACACTGTAAAAAATAAAATTTCTCAACTTGTTTTTGTAGGAGATTTTTGAGTTTTCTCAACTTTTTGTTGTTTAAACTGAAAACAAGTTGACAAAACTCAAAAATATGCTGAAGCTGGTTGCCTTAATTTTTAAGTTTTCTCAACTTTTGTTTTTTTACAGTGCACAGACACAGACACA